TAAGTTATAATTTCCCACAACTTACAAGATGTCATCTCTTTATGAACTTAATTCTTAAGCAGGCATGCTTTTATTGTGTTTCATATCATTAAGGACAATACAGTTTATACAAAAGAAAACTTGTGGCAGCTCTGTGCTGAGCAAGTCTGTTGTTACCATTTATCTGGCCTCATGTGTTCAGTTTGTATCTGTGTGTCACATTTCAATAATTCTTGCAGTAGTTCAAACCTCTTCATAATTCTCCTATCAGTATATTGTTGTTGTTATGTAGGCTAATAATTTTTATATGCCTTGATAAGCTCAGAATATAGAGTGGTCTGCTTTATTGTGATAGTCACTTTGTAGTAGTGGTCAGGATTCTAGCTATTTGGAGAAATCCCTGTATTTTAATGTTTGGACTTTTTCAGGTTTTGTTTTAGAAGTTATTTATTTTACACATTTCTTTTATAAATTAGGCTAATTAACTACATGGTCTGTTTTCATCATGTTCAATTTGATTTAGAACTCAGTTATTTTAAAGTATGTTGCTAAGAGGAAATTTTCACTTTTGCTGGAGAATTGTAAAATAAAGGAGGCAATTCTAAGTGAGAAAAGGCAAATGAACAAGTACAAGCATAATTTAGAGAGATTGCAGATTCACTTACGCAAACATATAAGAGTTATGCTTACTATTACGTGTGCAGTAGCATGAAGAAGTTTGAAGTATTGTAAGAATAAACCAAATTTGACACAGAGACAAAAAGTGAGCTCATACGTTTGGGAAAACAACAAAAGACTTGCTCAATGCAGAGTTGCCACAACTTTCAGCTTATTAAGAAACATAGTTTATGAAGAGCGATAAAACAGTAAAATAAAATAAAATGGAGTTGTATTTGAATTCTGAAGCTGGACAGCACTCAGTTTAAAATTGTTTATTTTTGTTTTTCCTGATGTTTGAAATCTTTAGCTATTTGCTCTCAGGTTACATGATGCTATGTTTTGAGACCTTTTTTCTTGATTAATTTAGCAGCGTTCTTTCCAAAGAGCTGTTAAAGTTAGTATTAAAGTGATTGTTCTACTGTTTGTATCCCACTTTCTTTATATTTTTCCTTAAAATTTGATATTCTTTAAATTTAAAAAAGGTTTCAATAAAAAGGTAAATTGTTGGGGTTTTGGTTTTATGTGTTGTGTTTTGCTTTGTTTTTTTTATCAAGTGGGTTTCATTCCATTTATAATTGATTAAAGAAAAAATAAGCTGTGTAGAAACTCTGGACAGTTGTTGTTAGGCGTTGTTGAGGTGATTCTGATTCATAGCACCCCAAGTGCAATAGAAAAAAGCCTCTGCCCAATCCTGTGTCCACCTCACAAGTCTCTGCTGTGATTAAGCTCATGTTGCAGTCACTGTGTCAATTTATGCCCTTGAGACTTTTCCCTTCTTTCCTTGACTTCCACTTCTTCAAACATAATGACCTTTTCCGAGGGCTAGCCCCTGCTGATAAGATGTTCAGGATGCATCAGACAATAATATCTCATCATCCTCACCTCCAGGGAGTACTTTGATTGCATGCTTCCCAAGATGAATTTATTTGTTCATTTGGAAGTTCATGCTACATTCAGCATCCTTCTGTAACACCAAAATTCAAAGGCATCAGTTCTTTAGTCATCCTTATTCTTTAGACAGTTTTTTTCAACTGGACAATTTTAGATTAATATGAAGTAATTGAAGCCATCATGACTTGAGGCAAGTGCACCTTAGTGTTTAAACTGATATCATTACTTGAGTGCTTTAAAGAGGTCCTTGACAACAGATTTGTCCAACGCAATATTTCTTTTGATTTCTTGACTGCTACTCTCATGGCTATTTATTATAGATCTAGGCAAAATTAAATCCTTTGGAACTTTGATATTTTTCTCTATTATCATGGGATTTTTTTTTATTATGACTAGAGTAGTGGGAGTAGATGTGTCAGAGACAATAAGGTTGGCTCCAAATAGAGCAGGGTTCAGAGCTGTTGTACATAGAGCCACTGAGTGGCAAACGACTTGACGGCACATAACGACATTATGATGTTGTCTATTGGTATAGTGGTGAGTATTTTCTTGATATTGAGGGCATAATCCATACTGAAGGCTATAGTCTTTGATCTTCAGTAAGTGCTTCAAGTCATCTTCACTTACAGTAGTGAAGGTTAACCTGGATGTAATTGTATGGTCTTGTGTCTTGTGGGCACTGTCAGGTAAGAAGACAGATGGTATTAGTGTTTCCCCTTCACATACTGGAGGTTATATGAGTATGTTACCTTTGTTGATTGGATTATTCACAAGATCTGTGGGCCCAAGTATGCTGGAAACATTGAGTAGTGGTCACTGTTTAGACATCTAAAAGTCTAGTTCTCCCTAGGGCAGAGAAGAAAGCTGTAACTCTCATTCCTTTTTATCTGCTCAAAATTGCATAACTCACCACTAACTCAGTAATCAATGGCCATTGAGCTGATTCTGACTCATATGGGACCCTCCATTGAGTTTATGAGGCTGTACTCTTGATACAGTAAATGGAAAATGGAGGGTTGGTATGTTAAAGTCAGTGAAACAGGCTCAAGATAGGAAAGCTTCAGAGCTATTGTACATAGGGTTGGTATGAGTTCAAAACAACTCAACAGTACATAACAACAAAAGTGACTCTTTATAGGTGGAGATTGCTCGTGTTTCTTCTTCCAGCAGAGCAGCTAGTGGAGTCAAGCTGTTGACCTTTCATTTAGCTCCTAATATGTTACATGCTACACCTCCAGGGCTCTTTATGTCCTCTCTAACCCATATTCTTGTTAGATGTCATCAGGTTGAATACAACTCTTAGCGACTCTAAGAATAACAGATTGGAACCTTGCTCCACCCTATGCCATCCTCACTATTTCCACCCAGCTTAAGGCTATTATTTTGTCATTATGTCAGTCTATCTTGGTGTTTTGGTGTTTTTTGGTTTGTTTTTTTTTTTAAACAGAATTTTATTGCAAGAACCAGATGTGTCTTAGGGCTTGTCCAGCCTCATTTCTGTAGCTGGAAAACTAGATATACTCACCAGTCTGCTTTTCCACTTCCTTTTTCAGAAACTTATATACCATCACAACATTTTTAGGCATCCTTGTTTTTATCCACTGTAGCTTGTTGAATTTGATAAAAGTTCAGTGCAATTTTCTTCAATAATTAACTCATCTTTCTGGGCTTACACTACTGAACAATTAACTTCCATTCAAACCTTCCAAATGTATTTTTCACCCAGAAAGTTTAGAGTTTGAACCAGAAACCCACTTTCCTCAATCACAATGTTGATGAAAAAGTGAGCATACCTAGACCCCATTTTATAACGAAAGCCCGGTGTAACACCCTTGGTCATGTTCTGGACATTGCTACAAATAACGTGAACCATATTCTATTTTCCCACCATCTGTCAATGTGAAACCTCTTCTTTTTTTTTCCATGGAGACTTGAGTTCCACATTGATGTGATTGAAGTCCTCAACTAAGTTCCCCTCGGGCCTTTTACGATAACTGTAGCCCTTTAGAATGATGTTGACAATTTTTGGAATGTAGACAATCTGGTTGCTGGGAGTGGTCTTTCCACTCACAGTAAATGTAGCAAAGAATCCCTCTTACTTAAGAGTTTTATTACTTTAGTTTTAATCTCATGAATTTAAGTTTTGCCAGCTTTCTGTCTTTGATCCTGAGGAGTACGGTTTATTTTTCAAATAAAGGTAACTTTTATTTTCTTTCCAGCTTCGTTTTGATCAGCCCCTATTCCCTTGAAAATCAGGCAACTGCTTAGAAGTCCTCGATAGAGAACTCTGACCTTTATCTGATTATTTTTCCTGCTTCCAAAACATTCTTGTTCCAACTCCTTTAAAGTTTTCTCTCTTCTTGTGATAGACATACTTGGAGTGATAACAATCAGATTTTGTTGTTGTTGTGTGCCATGAGTCAGAACCGACCCATAGCTGACCCTCCACTGGGTTTTTAGAGCAAGTAAATTGCATGGGAGGAGATTGTCCATCCTTCTCCTGCAAAGCAGTTGATGGATCCAAACCATGAACCTTTGGGATTGTCGCATAACTTCTTGGCACTAGGCTACCAGAGCCCCCTACCAAATGATAGATTATTTTAATAGAAACACACTCTAGTCAATCAAGGTTTATCTGTTGTTGCTGCTGCTTCATAGAGTGTCCAAGGCTGTGCTCCTTTAGAAGCAGATCATCAGGCCTGTTTTCTGAGGTACCTCTAGAGGGTGAGAATGTGTTTTGGCAATAGTTAAGGCCTTAACTCTACACCACTGAGAGAGACCCAGGAGTTTATCTCATAGCAGGGAATTTAAACACAAACTCATTAGTTATTGGAAGCATTGTGGACAAGTCAGCTTTCCCTTGATATGGATATAAAGCCTCAGTATTTCTTTTTTTTTTTTTTTTTTTTACATTTCTGTAGTAAGACTATATAGCTTGTAAACTGTTTAAAAAGTACATATGTTTGGAAAAATGTGACTGCAAAAACTGTATCAAGGGGTTTGTAGAAAGCATTAAGTTTTCAGGATGGATTTTTAACTATGTGAACAAGGACTTGAAGTAAGTTGAACAGTTGTCTAAGAATAGCCTGTAGATTATTTTAAAGTTCTGATTAGTAGAGATTTTTCTTCCTGTCTTCATATACCAGCAGTAAAACCAAGGATACTTTCCTAAAATTTTTCAATTGGGTTTTTTAGTTGTCATTGTGGTGTTTGCTTTTTTTTTTTTTTAATTCTTTTAAGAATAAGATGGTTTTAATATAGATTGAGTTTTGATGTTAATCATTGGAGAATTATTTTATTAAAGAGAATAACCATTATCATTTGGGCTAAGAAGTTCTTCCATCTGCTAAAGTTCTGAAAAGAGCTTAGTTTACGACTATGATTATGCTGTGGAGAATCTGAGCTTGCATGTCATTGTTAAGCTTAGAAGCTGAAGTGTGATGTAGCTGTGTTGCTTTTCTCCTCCTCAGGTGTGGTTTCAGAACTGTAGAGCACGCCACAAGAAACATGTCAGCCCCAACCACTCTTCCTCTACCCCAGTCACTGCAGTCCCACCCTCCAGGCTGTCTCCACCTATCTTAGAAGAAATGGCTTATTCTGCTTATGTGCCCCAAGATGGGACAATGCTAACTGCGCTACATAGTTATATGGATGGTAGGTATCCCAACATTTAACAGCTGTCTTCCAAGAAACAAATAGCTGATAACTTTTTGCTTTAAAAAAAAAAGATTTTATTGCATGTGATAATAATAATACTGGTCCACATAATTAATGAAATTGTTCCAGAATAATTTCAATAAATAACAATATTGTTCCACAATAATTTCCACATTCTCTTGAATTACCTTTTTTTTTAAAAAAAAAAATAGGAACAAATATAGATTTCTTCCAGTCAGCTGTAGAGGTAGCTGTCTTCCAAATTTCTTGGCATAGAATAGTGAGCACATCCAGGGCTGCATCTGTCAGTTGGTATTCCATCAGTTCCCAGGGCCTTATTTTTTTGCAGATGCCTTCAGTGTAGCTTCAGTCTCTTCCTGCATTACCATTTGCTGCTTCCTGAAATGATTTGGTGCCAACCAGCTCTTTTGATACAGTGACTCTGTGGACTCCTTTCATCATCTTTTGTTGATGCATGAAACATCATTCACGATTTTGCCTGTAGAATCCTTCAGTATTGCCTCTGGAGGCTTGAATTTGCTTTTCTGTTCTTTCACCTTGAGAAGTGCTGAGCCTGTTCATCACATTTGACTTTCAAGCTTGAGCTCTTTGCATATTCCTTCTTTTTTCTTTTTTCAAGCAAATGAAGTGAAAAACATACATCCAAACAGTGGGACAGAGGCAAAGCTAGTGAAAGGTAGGCTATGCAATAAAAGTTAAAGTGAAATAGAAAAGGGGAAAGAGGGAAAGGATCCCAGGAAAGACAAGGGTGAAGCTGTCAGTAGAAAAAGTGAAAAAAACCTCCTGATAACTTTTTTAAATTTTATTTTTAATTGATATTTTAATGAAGTTCACAGAAAACTTGGATTTCCGTTTATTCATTGTTGTACCTTTTCTTCCCTAACAGCCCCCACCCCACTTGCTTTTCTCTTTAAAAAAATTCTTTCATTGTTGCACAATTTCCTCCTGCCGCCCCTCCCCCCTTGTGCTATGCACCTCTTTCTTTGGACTATTGTAACTTTTAATATTATTGACAAGATTTATGTTTCAAAATGTTACCTTAATACGCTTGAAAAATATTATGGGAGAATGCAGTAGGAACTACCTAAACATTTTTATTCCTCTGACTATATTTTGAGCAAGGACCTAACATCCACTTGTAACTAAAACATAATGTTGTTGTCATGTGTTGCCAAGTTGGAAGCAACTCATAGCAAACCTACCAGCAGGTTTTCAGAGCCTGTGTATCTCACAGGAAGAGACTGCCCATCTATCTCCTGTGGAACATTTGGAAGATTGAACCACCTATGTTTGGGTTGGCAGTGCAACTCCTTACCCCTAGGTCACCAGAGCTCCTAAAATATAGTAGTGACTGAGTATTTGACTTGTGTTTCTGATTTTTAGATTTTTTGCTTTTCTCTTGATAAATATTTGGTTTATATTTTCATTATTAAAAGCAGTGTTGAGATTTTTAAACTGAGATTTAGCAAGTCTTTTCCTGTTGAAACAACACACACAGAAAATGGCATACATAAGAAGTATGCAGCTTGATAAATTAATAAAATGAATAATACTACTCCAGTAAAGAAGTAGAAAATAATTAACACCTAATAAACCTCGCTTTTGCCCTTTATGTTATTTCAACAAGTATCTGCCCTTTGGACCTTGAGGAAAGCTGCTACGTAGAGTTGCAGACACTTGTTAGTGTGTGTTTGCATAGAAGTCCACAGGGGGCTGAAGGCAGCACCTCTCCAGCTGTTTGAATCCACTAGCAGCGCTGCAGGGGAAGAATGGTCAGTGTCCTCCTGTGTGATATACAGGCTCTGGAAACTTGCTGAAGGGCCAGCTCTGACTTAAGAGCACTGAGGGAGTGAGTTACCTCATTATTTTGGGCTTTTTTATCCATTCACTGTTGCACATTTTTCCTCCTTCCCCTTCTCATCTCCCTCCCCCGTCCAATTTGTAATGCACCTCTTGTTCCAGATTATCTCATTTTATCTTCCTTATCTCCAAAGTAACATTAGCCTGATTTCTAAAACCATGATTTAATTTTTAACTTTAATAAGTTTAGCTATGCAGAATACTTGACACTTAACAACAACAACAACATATAAAGGCCCTTGTCTCCATTTTGGTGTTGGGTGAAGTGGACTCCAAGAGGGTGTTGTACTAGTGGGGTGGGCAGGGAGGGAAGAAAAGTGCAACAATGAATGAACGGAAATTCAAAGTCTCTGTAAATTTTCATTGAAATTAATTTTTTAAAAAAGGGCGGAAAAAAGACGGTGCCTCTTGTTTTAGTTGAGGATCTGTGTGTGGAATATTTGGTGGTTTTTTATTCAAGCCTCTTGTTTAGAATCAACGAGACCTCCTGGAGGGCCCTTATGTTTAAAAGTTGGGCCTGAGGGATTATACTTTATTCCCTTGTTACTATATTTTGGAGGAACATTCTTCTAAGTCATACAGCACATGCTGAGGTAATCTGGGTTTGCTGTGACACTGAACCTTGTGCCACTGGAGTCTCAAATGCCATAATGGAACAATTGTGCCACAGGTGTGCCAAACACCATAACGGCCACTCATTGTGGGCAGTGTTTGGGGGAGCTCCCAGACTGATTAAGGTTTAGAAGCAGGAGTGGCATCCACTTCATACACCACATGCCTCTGGAAACTCTTTGAACTTAGAGAAATGATGATAGTTATAGAAAGGCTTCAGGCCTTTTGTTTGTAGGGTCACTATGAGTTGTGCTCAACTTGACAATAGCAATATGCACAATATAGTGTTTATGTAACTTCTTTCAGTTACATCAGTTTTGAGAGTCATCTGTATTGTTGCCAGATCCCATAATATGTTTTCAGTGTTGTATAGATTTCCACCTTAGCAGTGTATAGCAATTTATCCGTATTCTTTTTTTTTTTTTTTTTTGGGAGGGGGATAGTAGACATTTGGAGGATTTTATTCAAAATTACCTTTAATTTCCCCCTTTCCTTTTTGCCTATCTGAAACAAGGCATTTGAGGGCTCCAATTTGAAATTTTCTTTTAGCATTACAATTCAGTAGAAAGTATCAATGATGAGAATTTTGGATAAGTTCTGTGCTCACATAAGGCATTTCTCATATGAAAGTCCACTAGGGGGCTAGCACAGACTCACAGAGACTCTCTCAGGTTTCCAAGGTGTCAATTTTTTTCTTTTTTAAAAAAATTTATTATTAATTTCAGTGAAAATTTACAGAGACTTTGGGTTTCCATTTCTTTTTGATGGATATTTGCATTATTTTCTCTTCTGACTTTCATGAATATGCTTCTAGAACATTATTGTACACATTGTCTAGTGTTCATTAATTTACACTTCTCTTTGGTATGCTGACAGAAATAGAGCACAGGATATATATGGTACATAGATGCTCAACTTTAGTGTTATGTGCTGACAAGTCATAATTGACTTACAGCTGCCCTTCCAGCAGATTTTCAGAGGCAGTAAATCAGGTGGAAGGAGATTATCCATTTTTCTCCCACAGAGCAGCTGCTGGATTCAAACTGCATGCCTTTGGGCTGGTAGCACAACTCCTTACCAGTAAGCCACCAGAGCTGCTCATACAGCTTTCAGTAGATTTATTCTATTCTTTTTGGTGCAATTGTAACTAATTTTCTTTTAATGCACATCTAGGTTTTCTTTCAGCATTTACAGTGTAGTTCATGACTTTCTGGCTTTTATTATTTTGGTATATGGATAGCTAACTGAGCTGACATTATTTAGTATTGGTCTTATTCTTGCTATTTGAAAGTAAATGTCTTTATGCCTGACTTTTATGTTTGGCTTTTTAGAATATTTTTAATAATGTATCTACATAAATTTCTTGAGTATACTCTTTGATAGCTCTTCTTATGACAAAGTCTGTTTCTGTTTCCTAAATATTGCTTGTCTCCTTTCCTTTTTAGATTCCAATTATATAAGATCTCCAATATTTTAGATCTTGTTATCATTTCCCATGTGTCTCTTAAACTCTTCCCAGCCCTGTGTCTTACATATTTCAGTCTAGATACTTTTTTGTTTTTTACATATCTTCTCCCTCACTAGGAAGCTCTGGTGGTGTAGTCCATCGGAAATTGTTTTGCTAAGCCAAAGCTGGCACCTCTTTAGTGGTTCAAATCTTCCAGTGACTTTATGTGAGGAAGGTGGACATTCTCTTCCTGTGCTATTTACACCCTCAGAAAACCTATTGGAGGGTCAGCTATGAGGCTTTTCTGATTCAGCAATAAATTTGAGGTGTTGAGTTCTGTTTCACTAATTTTCTCAACAATGTGAAAATTACCCACTGAACTCTTAATTTTAGTTATTGCATTTTTTTCAATTCTAGAATTTATATTTTATCATTTTGTATAGTTTCTAGCTTTATGTTAAAATAACCTGTCTTGTTATTCTTCTCCTTAACTAAATTATTGCTCTCTTAGTCATAGTTTTACCAAAGTTCATGTATGATAATGCTAATATTTAGATCTTGCAGACCTGATCTAGTCTTTTTTCTTTATTTTCACTCAAGTCATATCAACGAATGGTGGTGGGTTTTTTGTTTGTTTTTGTTGTTTTGTTTTGGGTTTGTTGTTTTTCCCCATTATCAATGTTGGTCTTGCTATAGCAATAATTTGAGACTTGGATTATCTTTTCCACCAAAGGGGATTTCGGTTTTCTTTGGCATGGATTGAGGCTTGGACACAGTTGGCACAATCCAGCCAGGCATCAGTCCTCATGTGGCTGCTGTTGAGTCGAGTATGACCCATTGACCCAAAGAACAACAGATCTGAGTCCTGTCCTGTCCTGTCCTAGCCTCACCATCTCTGACGTACTTGAGTTTATTGCTTCAGTCACTGTGCCAATCTGTCGGGATGAGGGTCATGAACATTGTTATAGTTATCATTCAGTACTCTTAGGATCAGGGAGCTCTGGTGGCCTAGAGGTCAGAAGCTGTGCTGCAATCCCAAAGGCACATGATTCAAATCCACCAGCTGCTCTGCAGAAGAAGGATGGGCAATATCATGTGATTTAGTGCCTTCTGAAAACCTGCTGGAGGGTCAGCTGTGAGTCAGTTCTGACTCAATGACACATAACAACAACAGCAACTATATTCCTTGGATTAGTTAGCTCTGGTGGCCTACTGGTCAGGAGCTGTGATTTCATCCCAACCAAACACAAACAGTTCAAACCCTCAGCTTTTCCATGAGGAAAAAGATACTGTCTCCTTTTATACAGTTTACTGTCTCTGAAAACTTGCTGGAGGCTCAGCTATGAGTGAATTCTGACTTGATGGTACATTACAACAACAACTCCTTGGATTAGGGAGCTCTGGTGGATTGGTAAGGAGTTGCACTGCTAACTCAAAAGCATATGACTCAAATCCACCAACGACCTCATGGGGAGAAGGTGAGCAGCCTCCTGTGTGATTGCTTGCTGGAAGGTCCGCTGTGGGTCTGTTCCAACTTGACAGTACATATAAATGACTCCTGGATTTAGCCCTTTGGTCCTAAATGAAAGTCTGGGTGTTTTACCAGGACTTTTATTTTTAAGAGGGTCTGATCCCTTCATTTTTCCTCCCATCACCCACAAAGGCCTAGCTTCTGAAGCTCAGTAATTTCTTTTAGGTATTTCTTTTTCCTTTAAAATTAGTACTTAGCTTCTAGGATCAAAGTAGTCTTTCTTTCTTTCCCACATCTTTTTTTTTTTTTGACTATATAAAATAATCAGCTATATGCCACTGTTATAATTTACTTAACACTAGCATTAAAATTGTGTGTCTAAATAAATTACTATAGTGTTGTCTGAGCCAAGTGTGTTTTAATAATGTGTTGAGGGAGGAGACAGTTAAGCATTAGTAAATGGGAATTTAGGGGTTCATCTTAACATCTTCATGTTAAAAGTAGGAGCATCTCAGCAGACAGAGCTCATGGTGTCTTTCACTGAAGGGGAAAATGCACTGAATGGGGTATGGATGGAGGACGTGAAAGTGACAAAACTTGTGGTCCAAAAAAAAGATGTGAGAGTAAAACCATTCCTGCATTCTTGTCTGACCCTGTATTCACTCACTGTGCTGAATAAATGAATGTGCTAGCTGAAGTGAGTAGAATAAATGCGGGAGTGGCAGCTATGAGTAAAGAGAGAGTGTTACTGTGGTTTGCTTTTGTATGTTTTAAAGTTGGTCTTATCATGCAAAGCTGACCCACACATGTCTTTCTATTTTGTAGCTCATTCACCAACAACTCTTGGACTCCAGCCCTTGTTACCCCATTCAATGACACAACTGCCAATAAGTCATACCTAATTCCTTTATTCAGGGATAGAATGATTAAGGATATAAACTTGTCATCTATTATGTATAAAATATCATTGGAAAGTTATTAATGTTAATTTTTTTATTTAACATCCAAAGCATTTCTAACATCATTTTGCTGCCCAGGTATGTATCTCTCTAGTTGGCCTGCAAGACACTTTTATTGTTTCTTTTTTTTTTTTTTGTAAAATTTATGTTTACAAGAAGAAAGCAAGTAAATTTTTTTTTGTTTTGTCTGGAAATAGTTCACTCTAGTGTGTATCTGTTAATTTATTTGTCATCAGAAGAGCACTTTGCCTAAAAAGAAAGGACTGACAAGTGTGCAAAATGTTTACAATCCTTTGTGAAATTGTAGTTTATCATTAGTTTGTATCTGTAAGTTATTGTTATAAAATATTACCTGTATTTTTTGTTATATACAACTTTATACTTTGAAGCTTGTATCTGTGAATTTGCAACTGCAAATTATTTTGCCCATGTTTTCTGAACGAACTGAATAAAGCTTCTGTTGTAGCATGCCAGGCAAACACATTCTTGTGTTTGTGGTTGATACGTTATGGTTGTAAATAACGCTATAGTTTGATAAGCCTCCTATTCTAAGTTTATTAAACATTTTTCATTCTTGTGAAAGTTTCAACCAGTTTGCCATTTTGGGGTTTTCAGCAGTAAGTTCATCTCTAAAAATAATTCTTAATAAAAAAAGTCATTTTGAACTGTGTCATGAGTGCTACATTTAAACAGAAAACTTTTTTTGTAAATGGTTGCACTAGTCTACAAAAGAATGTGTGAAAACATGATTTGGTAAATAATCTCTTCAAACAGCTAATAAAATTGATACTAAATAAAGGGCAGAATACTTTCCAAAATGACCTTTGGGGCATCATAAATCAGAAATGAAATATGGATTATACGAGTATTCTTAAGGAGAACTTAGAATTACATTAGAGTTTATGAGTGATAGTCTTGGAGCAAAAACTCTTGGATTTTCTTCCTAGGGAATTCCTTTTAGTGATTGTGCTTCTGAGAGCTGAAACTTAAACCTCAGGATTTCAGCCTCTGTGGCAAGTGGACTTTTGACTCTGAATTACAAAAGTGAGCAATAGCACCCTCATTAATTATTGAATTTAAGACCCTTAATCAAGACTCTGTTTTTCTTTCATATGACAGGAGGGAAAAAGAAAGAGTAGACTCTTGAGTTTTTGTTTAACATAGATTTACCTATGTCCGAGGACTTGAATAGTGGAGTATTTGTAATTCTATCAATCATAAATACAACCAGAAAAAAAAAAACACATAGACACAATTTACCTTAAACCAGAATGAATGAACCCAGGTTTCACAAAGGGAGGAAAGGTTCGTTGCTTTTTTTCTTTTTAACAATCTGCTTTAAGCAATGTGGCATCAAAACTGGAGGAAGACTCATCAACAAGCTGCATTATCCTGATGACACAACCTTGCGTGCTGAAACTGAGGAGAGCCTGAACCATTTGCTATAGAGGGTCAAGGACTGTAGTCTGCAATGTGAATTGAAGCTCAGTATCAAGAAAACAAAGATTCTCATCACTGGGTCAATTGGCAGCATTATGATAGACAAAGAGATTGAGCTTGTTAACAATTTCAACTTGCTTGGTTCCACAGTCAACACTCTTAGCACCAGCAATCAGGCAATAAAAAGATGAATTGCATTAGGAAAATCTGCTGTCAGGGACCTCTCTAGAGAGCTAAAGAGCAACGATGTCGGTCTAGAGACTAAGGTTTGCCTGATCCAGGCCATGGTCTTCACAATTACTTCATATGCATCAGAGAATTGGAGCATGACTAAGAAGAATTGATGCCTTAGAGTTGTGGTGCTGGGGAAGAATATTGAACATTCCATAGACTACCAAGAGAACAAACAGGTCTGTCCTGGAGAGGGTGAAGCCAAACTGCTTCTTGGAGGCAGGATATTGAAGCTCTATCTCACATACTTTGGGCATGTTTCCAGGAGGGACCAATCCTTGGAGAAGAAGATCATGCTTGGAAGGATGGAGGAAGAGCACATGAGAGGAAGACCCTAGGTGAGATGGTTTGACACAGTAACTGGGATAATGGTGGTAGGTGTGTCAGAGACAGATTGACTCTGGATAGAACAGGGCTTCAGAGCTATTGTGTATAGGGTCACTATTAGTCATGATCAACTTGACAGAAAAAAACCCCTGTAGTTAGGGTCCCTTTAACCAAAACCAAGTACTTGCCAAAAGTCCTTTTATTTGATGTTGTGAGACTGATGCTAATCTAAGGTTTTTGTCTATCTGTCCCAGGCATGAAGTGGTGAAGTCAGCATTACCTTTACCAGATGTTGAGGAAAGTTCTTGTAGTCTAGCCAAGCTCTGTACTGTTAGCTTTTATAGAATTTCCCAGCTGCATATAATTGGCATCCTTTACCTCACGAGGTGCTTGATTATGAGTACTCTTGTCTTTTTCCTGTGCTCAACATCCTGTGACTGTATTGAGTTATAAACCATGCTGCTGCCCTTTTCAGTTCAAAAAGAGAATGTCCAATTGAAGTAGATCATGAGAAGTTCAAAGCTGTCAAAATTGGTGATAGTTGTATATCCAGTATATCAAATTGTTAATAGTAAAATGAGATGTGGAAGTGCTAAAAATTGCACATATTACATGTTACCTATGTTCTTAATTCTGTTGTTGAAGGTAGGAAATTTTATAATTTGAAAATGTAATATTTCCATAGTAGTAATATTCTGTGTAAGTATGCAGACTAATACATACTTGAACTTGGAAGTAAGATTGAGCAAACTGCTTTTTTTTTAATTATTGGAAGAAAAGATTGTTGAAGTAGCAAAGACCTGAGTAACAAGCAATAATGAGGGCACAGGTGACTTTCTTTGCCACACAAATCGACTCCATTCATGTGCTCAAACTTTTCTGCTGCAGAAGTCACAATATGTCATTATGCCTTAAGTGATTATTGATAGGACAAAGAACCAATAATTTTACGTAGTATAAATGTTATTCTTAAAATTCCACATAACTTTTTATAAATTAGAAATACATCTGCTTTGAATATCTCATAATAAACATTGTTAGAATCACAGTTCATACTTTTAAAAAATTGTTGCAGGCATTTCAAAGCTAGGAGCTATAGCATTTCTTGAGTTGGTAAAATATGTAATTAGTAAGCATTTACAAAACTTGATGGGATCTTGGGCTTTTGTTATATGGAGCACTTTATCTTTTAGTAAAAGTGATGCTTGTATTTGAAATATAACAGTAATCTGAATTGCAGTAAACCAAATATCAAAAGTATATTAACTTAAAAAAAATTTCAAGTTGTCACCACCCTAGAAAGTAAAGGAATTAAAATTAGTTCTATTTTATTTCTGGAATTTTGAAATGAAAATACATTTTTATAAAGAGAAATGGATTCAATAAAAACCAAGTTCAGGTAATTGGATAAGTTATAATAACTGCTTGTATTAAATCATATTATAAATATTTAATAAACATCAAAATATTCACCTATAAGTTTTTTATTTATAAATAGCATTGCATTCCTTGGATAAAACACTTAGATACCTGTTTTTAATTTTTCATAATAATGAACAGACTAACATTGTGATCATTGTTATTATGCCCTGCTGTGAGTAGATGGATGTATTTTATTAAATATTCACATCAATTTAATGTAATAGGATTGTTTTGGCTTTTTTTTTTTACTATAAACAGAGAAAGGGCCACACAAGGACTGCCATATCAGACCCTTAACAGCTTCACAAATGGTAATTGTCCCCATCCACAGCATCAATAACACAAAACTCAGTTCCCATGAAGTCAAACATACCCCCCATGCTTTCATTTCTCTTTCTACTCATCTACTTTCAACACCAATCTTACTGCTTTGCAGCCTCCAAAATCCAATGCAACAACTTACAGACCACACAGAACCATATTGGAGAAGTTGAAAGGTTCATATTTATAACAATACAGTCAAGATAGATCCTGAAATATGTACATAGGCGCCTCAATCTTGAGCGTTGAACCTTGAGGCCAGTGGTTCCCAAAGTCTCAGTTCTACCAGTATTGGCTCTCCCCTCAAGCAGTTGTCCAATAAAGTTCTTGGTCCTGCCAGTGTTGGCTTTCCCCCCTCTCCCCTAAGGTCTCATCTCACATCAGGTCCCGAGTTTGGCCACGGCTGCTTCTGTTGTCTCAAAGCGTTTTCTACATTTTGCTGCCATTTTTTCTCTGGGGTAGGAAAGGTGTGTTTCTTCTCTAGCAAAGGAAGATCCATCTCTGCTGCTAGAGCTGTTAGATTTATTATGGATAGAGCAGCACACCCCATTCACGTAGTCCAGCCCATCCACATGGTCAGTCATCTACATTCAAATAATGCTGCTGTTGTTGTTATGTGCCATTGAGTCGTTTACGACTCATAGCCACCCTATGCACAACAGCCCTAACCTCTGCTCTATCCTGTGCCAATTGCA